GCTTTCCTTTGCATTGGGTGGATAATTTTTAATATTTAAATTCCTCTCATCAATTTTGCTTTTGCTGTATTGTGAGTTATTTTCTCACCTGATGCACTAGGGCTTGTGTTATATTTTTGAACTTATCACAATCTACATGAGGTTTATTATAACTTCATTAATACTAGTGAGATATAAAATGCTCTCCAAATAGGTCCATTCCTTCTCTCTCTCTTTTTGGTCCTATTAGTGTTATACAAATACAAAACCTAAAAATACTTTGTCATAATTATTACCTTACTTAGATGTAAAAGATATTACCTTTTATATCTTTTAATTAAAGGGGATTAGAATAAAAATATACCTATGGAATTTGTTATCTTAAACTTCTCATGTGTCATCTCTTGCTGTCTTGATTTCTTCTGGAGATGTGAATTCCCCTACTGTACAACTTTACCCCCATTCGGTCCTCTGTGCTCTTATGCAAAACATGCTACATCCTGTGTACTAAAGATCCAAGAACACAATGGGATATACATCTTTGTTATGGTTTATGTCTGTGTGTCCCCTCCAAAGCCTCATGTGACCATGGGACAGGCTATTAGAGTTGAATGATTTTGGGTGTGAGAGCTACACCTGCCCTGGGGTGGATAGTTTGCATATGTAAGGGAGAGGAAAAGAGTGCTTGAGGACATTCCTCCCCCATTCTGCCCTGGTGTGTGGTTGTTGCTTAGCTGTGTGCTGCCGCCCTGAGATGCAGCCCTCTGCCACGTGCCACTCTGCCTTATAATCTGCCACGTACGGATTGAAACCTCCACAAACTGTAAGCGAAATAATCCTTTCCTTCCTTAATTTTTGGCATCAGATATTTTGTCCCAGCAGCGAGAAAAAAGTAACCAAGACAATCTTGTTCTATACAAATGCTTGTTAAATTAGTTAAGTGAAAAATGTAAGTATATTGGCTTGTGGGATTATCCACAGAATTAACTTTTGCAGCTTTTGTTGTTTATTGGGATAGATTCATGTTACTGTCTGATGTGCTCAGCTTTCAGCCTGAAGAACTCCCATTAGGATTTCTTTGAGGATGCCTTTGCCACCAATAGATTGTCTCAATTCTTGTTATTTAGCAATATATTTCATCCTGAGAGGTAGTTTTGCTGAATGAAAGTTCCTTTCTTATTATGACAAATGTGTATAACATTAAGTTATGTACACTTATGTAACATTAAGTTCACCTTGATTTTCTCTTTTCCTTCTGTGTTTCTAGCATGTTTGCATAGCATTTTTCTAGCAGGTTTGGACGGGAAGAAATCACGGAGAGAGCGGCAGGGCAGAGGTGAGGGACACTGAGC